ATATATCCTGTGGTGTTCTTACAGCATCATTACATAATTTGCCTGAAAACTTAAGATAAATATCTTAAAATGAATACATTTTTAAATGCATACATATGACTGAATTAATGGATAGATGAATTGATTAATGAGTAAATTAATTAATGAACATAATTCAAGAGGTAAAGGTTTATGAAGTTTTTGTAACAAATATTGCTGGCAAAGCTGACAACCAAAGCTGTCTTTTACCAAGGTTTAATTTCCATTTTGTAACTACGCACAGCTGTTGCATCTCTACTTACTTTCATGTAACCCATTTTCAACAAACCAGTTTCCACCCATCTATGCTACCTTTTATAATCTGCTTTCTTTTATAAGTTAATTTCACCTTTTTTCGTCCTCTCCCTATGTGGGGCAGCTAACTATCATAATAGATTGAAGCATTTGTTCAAAGTTCGCTAACTAACCAACCTAAAGCTGACGTTTGTTATTTATTTTAGAGTCGTACTCAAATGGGATAAGAGACATGCAGGAATGAGATGCCATTTAGTGGTACCCTGCAAAGTTTGTCTTGTAAAGGTCAAAATGAGCAGCTGCCCTTAAAGAACAATCCTTTTCTAACTACAAACAAAACCTACGATGACAGTGAATGACAGTACTTTAGAAAATGCTTCACTTTGAGAGTTTTTCAGGGGTTTTAATGTTAGCAGATTTCACAGGTTTTCACGTATTCTATGCATCTTTTTTTCCAGCTCATATGCAGGTGTCTCTCCAGAGTATTTTTTTTCATGCAATACCCTATCATGTGGAGAAGAGAATCACCAACCGTTAACTGCAAAAATAAAACTGTCAACATTCGACCATATGTGTATTTTGTACATCATTTATCTTATTACACTACCTTAACTTTTACATTATATTACTATTACATCTTTTGCAGAAATAAGACTCCTGCTTCAGCATAGTTATAAAGAGTGAAGTTTTAATGGGGATGACAGGCTCAGCTTGTCGTCTATCAGTCACACTCCTAAGTAATAAGACAGAATATCTAATATTCTATCTTATTATACACCAGGCAGATTTTATTTTGTATTATTTATACAAAATTCCTTTATAATATGAATGAGAACCTTTGAGATCCAGGCAGACATGATCTGTTATTTTGCAGAAGACGGCTGATTTTAGTAATTTTTTTTTTCTTTGTGTAATTTAGCGCAAGTTTTTTCAGCCTATCATCCAAAATGGAAAGACTACAATAATGCTAGGAAGATGAAGCCTCCATCTAAACTGAGATGCTAGCAAAGAGAGCATTTATAAGAGTAGTGGCTAGAGGGTGTAAAAAGAATCTCTGCATCCCTTAAGGAGAGCTGCAGGGATCTATCAGCAACTATTAATCAGGCTATCTACAAATCTAGTCTTATATAAGAGTTGCAGAGAGAAGAGGCATCCAATATGCAGTTTGCCCCCAAACAAAACTGGAAGTGGCAGCATAATACTGTGGAGTTTTTCTTCAACAGGGAAAGGTCAGCTGGTGAGAGCTGGTAGCAAGATAGATGATGCTAAGCAACAGGCCTGAGCTTAGGACTGAAGCTATGAACTTACAGCCAGAGCTACAATAAAATAGTTTTTTGTCTCAGCATATTCATGTCTTAAAATAACCTAATTCCTATTGAGAATCTAGGGCAAGCCAGGAAAACTGAGGTTCTCCCTCCCAGGTAACTGGGCTGGAGCTATTTTGCGAAAAACGAGAATGGGCAAAAATGTCAGCCTCTACAGATAGCATACCCTAAAAAACTTACAAATGCTGTTGCAGCTGCATAGTGTTTACTGAGGGGAACGTTAAGCATACTCTATGCATGCCACAGTTTTCATATTCTTGTTCTAGAAAAATCAAACAAACCAACAACAAAAATAATGTATATAAACTATAATCCACTTTCCTTTTATTTTACAATGATGTGCCGCTTTGTGTCACAAAAAATCCCTCAGGAATAGATTGCAGAGTGGAACAGTATTCTGACAAGAGGTAAAACACTTCAATCCTGTTTAATAGCACTATGCATTGCACTTAAAAGATCTGTAGATCTTGATGCTATAGTTGCCTATTTGGCATTGTGGGTGATTTTATTTTTTTAAAGAAATGTAAATAACCACATGTTTCTCTGGAAAGCAATAAGGGAATTAGATAAAATACTCAGTATCTGTTGTTATAATTGGCTCACGCCTGCTGCAGCTATGATTGCATACAGAATGGCTTCATCTCCTTTGAGACTATGGAAATCCTCAAATTATTGAGGTGGAGAATTATACAACAGCTGCTCTGTTTATAAAGAGGACACTCGTCTTTAATAGTGTGCATCTTAATAAGCACAAATAGCTGTGACACAGAAGAGTTACTCTGCAAAATGTTGCACCCCAAAGGGTGTAACCAAAACAACATAATACTTTATGAGGAAGGAATTACAATTTGAGTTGAAACACCATTTAAAAAGAAAACACACAGTAACAGGGAAAGTTACATTAGGCTCAAAGCTAATTAGCAGCAGTGATATTTTCCTAAGCTTATTTTAGTGTACTTCCACAATGCTGTTAATTTGCTTTAAGCAATTGTTTTATTTAGGTATAATGAAGACTCACATACATTCTTTTTACTCTTTTGAGCCAGCTAATATTGGTTTACTAACAGCTTTACTGGCTTTGATATCCAATAAACGGAGATCAAATTGACCACCGTAAGAAAAAATTGTCCCCAAAAATCCTAAACATATAGGAATATGATATGCAACTTTGATCACAATTATTAATGTTTCACAAGGTTTTCTAGCCTTTATAAATGAACAGTGGTTTTGGTTTAACATATAAGAGATTTTTATTGACCGTATAATCTCATACGTCCCAGGTTGCAAAATGTTTTAAGCAGACAAGAATATCGAAAATAGTTTGAAAATTGTTGTTCCATTACTTATTTCTGCTCTGCTCTAAAATTTTGAGATATTTATTATTTTCACATTTAATTAAAGTTAAAATATGCCAATTTAACCTCTTGTTTTTTTAACAAGTAATATTTCCAGTAAGTTGTGGCTAAATTGCTGCAGTTTAAAAAAAGTATTTTGCATCAAGTTCTAAAATGTGTTTTTATGCAGGAGCACAAACTGTTAAGAGAGTTTTGATTTTGCCAGATTCATTACCATTATCAACAAAACCCGCTGAATTAAAGTGTATGTGCTGAAAAACAGTCTAGCTGATAAATATATACAGTATTTGATGTGTAACTCTGTTACTGTTTATTTCACATTATAAGGTGATCTTACCTTAATATAACCAGTTGTTCTCGTTGGAAGTAACTTAGTCTTGAGAGTTAACAACAATACTAAAATTGAGCCATCATCTATTATACTGAAAAAGAAGAAGTTTTGTTTACCTGCACAAAATTTCACGATCGGATTGAAATAAAACAAAAACAATTAATACTAAGATTTTATAGTTTATATGGACATACTGTAAATAAGTGGGATAAAAGGCCTATGCCAATCTTGATATCATGACTAGCGTCTAGCCGCTCACAATACGTCACATTGGTGCAAGATGCACTCTTAGCTCAGCTTGCCTCCGAATACCTTGATCCTGATAAGCATCTACATGCATGCTGATTGTATTGTCAGTCGGCATAAACCTCCACTCCCAGTCAGATTTTAATTTTATTTTGATCCTACCAAATCTGATCAGAATATTCCGACTTAGCTCGACTGTTAATTCCTATTTTTTATTACCATGTAAACAGAGCTAATAAATGTTAATGGTTAACTTAATAACTTTTCTATATATCACAAATAACCCTGTTGATGGACATAGTATCATCAATTCAGTAGAACATTAATCACATGTTAGGTAAAAGATTCTGAATTCACAATATAAAACATTTTAGTTTTTATAACTGTTACCACATAGTTCTGTCATTTTCTTATTTCTGTCTTGGCTGCCTTTGTTTTCTTGCACCATAATATTTCTAGAAAACTGATAAAAAGAAAACCCTCCAGTGTTTTTCTAGCATTTAATTTGAATAATTTAAAACAAAGAAATTGATCATCGTGGGAGGAATATGACATGCCAAGAGGAATTTACAGTCATTGCAAAAAGCCAGCCTATCCTCTTTGTCTTAAAGGGTTTTTAACATATAAACATGTATGGATTAGCACAGTACCTTACTATCTACAAAACCACATTTAGGATAAGTCAGGGTCCAGCTTTGGTTTGCTTTTATAAAGGTGATACAATTATTTATATATCATCGCAACCTTTACAAAAAACATTTTTTTCTCTCTTAAATGTGTGTCTAACCTTTTTCTTCAAAGGTGTTGTTCCAGGATGGCAATGTTTATTCTTGTCACAATGAAAACACAATGTAATATACATATGTTTCTCACAACCTCTTATTATCTTAAAAAAATAATATACAGTGTTTTTCTGGGGAGCATTTTAAATGTATTTTAGCATATAGCTTTAGGAAAACCAAACCTTTGATTACTAATTTAATAGTTATGCGAAAGTTGTGTATTTGTGATCACTATTGTTTCAAAAAGGTTTTTGTTAAAAAAAGAATATGTCAAGGGCAATTCCTAACAGTTTTAGGATATTGTTGAATGCATTTAGATGACATGAATGCATGAAAAATGTCTAAGAAAAAAAATCTTGATGTTTGGCACGGTCCTCTTTTATACAAGTGAAGAACCAAAGATATAAATGCTAACTTTAGGAGTTTGTTAACAAAGCTTTTATGAAATGGTTTAAAAGTGGTTAGTCCATATCTTTTTTGCTATCGACGTGCAAATCCTCTTGGAGGGAAATCAAAACATGCACTGCACCATTTTTTGTTTTGTTTTGTTTGTTTGGGCAAATTGCTCTACTCTGAAGATGCCATTTTCTGAAGAATAATGACTAATTTCCTCCCATTTCCTGTTCTCTCCTTGTTGCAGCTCTGCCAGTTACAGAGAGAGGGAATAACCCCCACCTCTCTGGAGAATGCAGACAACAAGCAAAACATTGTGACCAGTCAACTTTAAGCCCTACTGGACACAGGAAAAAAGAAAAAGCAACAACCGGACGGGACCTCGAACAAATTCTGAGAAGCAGAGAAGAAAGCTGCTTTAATTTGTCAGTAAACTAACCCTTAAAGGGTTGACACTGGACTTGGAAAAAAAGTAAGTCGTGGCCCAAAATGATTGCCTTAATTACACTTAGATAAATGTAAGGAGTGATGATAATAAGAGACTTATAAAAGTTTAAAGATGTTTTCTTTTCATGTGAAAAAAGTGTCTTGTAAGGAACAGATGTGAATATTTTAATATGATAGAAACGTTTGGTTGTAATGTTAACATCATGTTCTAGCTGGGTCAGCTTTGTAGGAGTCTTTGGTTCCTAAATGGTATGTTGGCCCTCTGCTCTTATGCAGCCAGTACTACAAATGTTTTGTTTTTCATTTTGGTTCATATTGTCAACAGAACAAGGCTGGCCTGAGTTGCTGGCAACAAAAATGTTGATTTATACTGATAACACAAGAAAATCCTCGTTAAGAAGGCATATAAAGCTTGGGAGAGAAGGCAGCACACTAAAATACTCCTGAAGAGTATCTTCTTTCATAAAGAATCACTTACACTAAAGCAAAGATGTCAGTAACATAAACACCTGTCATAAATATCTGCCACATTCAGTTTTTATCACATGAAATGGCAGATTAAAGCTTTCACCTTCCAGGTTATTGAGGAAAAAAAAAACTACTTTTACTTTTGTTTTCTTTATTTTCTCAGATGCAAGTTTAGAGCTGACCAGCTGCTTTGCTGATATGTTTCACTCTGAATTTTCTGTATGCAAAAGTAACATGAACATGTGTTCTATATTTTTTTAAACCTAGCCTTGATAATTACATAACCAAAGGTGAAACCCTGAATTTATTGTATGTTGTGGACTTCTGAAAAATGTTGTGATATAGATGCACTCAGAATGGGAGAGGGATAAAGACAATTGTAAATATCAGACGTTTATACATGTGTGTCCGAAGATGTGTTGCAAGCAGAGTAAATTCTTTCTTTACTTTCTTTGACTGTTATGACCATCAACCATGAGAATCTGCTTGGTTTGTTAAAAAACATGATACAATCACGTTCCTCATTTGTTACTGATGCTGCTCAAACATTCTCCATTGCTGTTGATTTGTTTGCATATCAGTTGTTTTATCATGCGTAGCAGAACATACGTCTCTGTGCAGCTTCGTCTGAAAACCTTTGGACTTAGTTACGTCTCATAGACTTGCAATGTTGCCTGTGAATGAAATGATTAGAAGATTCTGCCGCCCTGCCAGTAGTAGTGATAGCTCATATTTTTTATGGAGACAGTGTTTTATTTCCCTATATTTTCCTCGATTTCCTTTTCTTGACAGTGTTAGCAATTATTGCACTAAAAAGCTTGAATTTAGACTTCCTAAATATAGCATTTCCTAAAGAAAACCCAAAGTGAACATTCCTGCTCTTTCCTGAAAAAAAAAAGGCAATTGTACTTGCCCGTTAAATTGTATCCCTCAGAAAAAAAAGAAAAAAGTAGTTTACTTAATATTAAAGTATATTTCCCTAGTGTCAAGAAGCTTTTAACTAAGAAATAGTTTTAAAATAAATGTTAGATAGTTTACAAGTGGAGTGATTCTAGGAAAGATATATATATTGGGATGCAGTAAATATGATATTTTTTGTGATTTTCTTACCACAGAGAACTCCTTTTTTTTTTTTTACCAAGCTTTTTGTTTTAAATCAATTAAATGAAATTTGGTAACATTAAATAAAGAATATATATA